AGAGTCATGAAACACAATTAAAGTCCTGCTCATGACTCCCTCGGGGAGCCTATAAACACGTCAGTTACTGGCATAGATAGCCAGACTGTGGAAGTTAAATCTATAGTAGACAAGCCAAGCTCACAGAGAATTTATGGGCCATGTTGTGGGCTTTGAATTTATGCTCTTGTAACTTTGTGAGCTCAAATCTAAGATTAACTATATGTTAGTTCTGTGACTTTGGACAAGTTGCTTAAACTTTCTGAACCTCAGTTTTCTCCAGGAGAGTTTTCATTTTCAATCTCCTTAAATGATCCATCCTAACACGAAGGCTTCATTAACCCTCAATTATGATTAAAAATCGTTCTCACAGTAGAACACAGACTTAGAGAATCTCGCCCAACATACTGACTGCAAACAAGAAAATCAAGTCCCAAGGAGACTGATAGTTTATCTAAATTCATGCCTTGAAGAAGCAGAAACTAAAGCAAATCTAAGTTACTTCACTTGACATCATGACAGAACTGAATGTTCCTTGCTGCCAGGAGTTGAAGAAAAAACAAAAGCAACCTAAAAGTGGAAAAGCAGCCAGTTTAACTTTGAAGGCCCAGTAGAGATGCCATTTCTGAAAATGGGCTTCAAATTGAAGACAGAATTAAGAAAAGAACACTGGATGGGGTATGATAGCTACATCTCTAGATATATCTTTCTTCCTTGTGCAGATAACCATGAACTCCCAGCGGATGTACATGTCAAGGGGTCATCTTGAGTTCTAACAGAAGCCATGTCTAGCTTAAATCCCTGTTCCGTCATTTACTGGTTGTGTGACTTGAATCTATTGTACCTATTAAGCCTGAAAATGATACATCGCTGACTTGTAACAAAGATCAGCTGGGTTAGTATACCTACTTAACCTACCACCCAACACACACGAGGTCCCAAAATATTTTTTATTCCTTCTAACGAGATGCAAACCATCACAGAGGAAAGGTGACTATACTGAATGAGATATGCCCGATTCATTCTCAAGGCAGCCCAGATAATCTGGAAGTGGACAGTAGACCACTCTCTGAACTATTCTCTATCTTCTCTGTTCCAGACTCAAATGCTAAATGCCTGGCAGCTGATGTCAGACGAGTTGATAGTTCAAAGGCCAAAGATCAGACTCTGCACTGGCCTTGGCAGAGGCGTTGGCTAACAAGAGAGGGACATGGGATGGGTTAGTGAGCAGGAGTAATGTCTGCCCTCGAAATAAAAGAAACTGAAGGTAAGAAAATTAAAACTGGGCAAAGCAGGGAGAGAAGCTGACAACCACAGGGAATGTCTGGCTGTGCTTTTTTCCATAATCATTAACAGCTGTTGCCTGGAAATTATTTTTGATCTCATTTCAACGTGAAAAGGAAGACAGGAAGAGTAAGCATTTTCTTTAACCTCATGATCTTTAAGGAACAAAGCATTAAAATTTGCTTGCGGTAGCTGTAAACTGGTTGTGTAGTCTTTGCATGACATGGTACACTCCAGCTCTCTCTCGGATGAAGAAAGCAGGTGTCAAGACAAGACAGGCCACAGGCAAGCGCACGTGAGCCATTTATTTTTGCAGATGCTTTTTCTCTTTCCCTAAATGTGCAGACTTCCCTGTCACCAGCTTCGTTAACACGCCTGCTTCCTGTGGAAACAGCAAGGCAAAACCAAAGGCAGACTGATTTCTCCGTGGTGTCCTTTCAGTCTTGGGCCTCACACATAATTTGACTTTCCCAACTCACCACACATTTCATCTCTTCACCTTTCGTGTTCTCTAATCTTCTCACGTTACAGGTTATGCAAGAGTCAAAACAAACCTGTCTAATTCCTCTCTCTTTTTCTGGCTAAAAACAAAGCTGATAAGAAATTAGGAAATCAGGTTGAGTTTCATTCATTTTTCCATCATTCTTGCACACATGTAAGGGGTCAGGTATTCTGCTAGACACATGAAACACAGAGGACACCGGTCTGCCCTCAGGGAGTGCTCAGTCTGGTGAGGAGAAAGACACGAAGCCTAGCCACTGCCCTGCAGTGAGATGCAGGCAATTAAAAGAGGTAAGTCTGGGGTTAAAAAGGCTCTGTCTATCCACAGGCAGACGAAAGGAACGTGCACAAGTGAAGGCTATTTCGAGTTAAGATGGAAGCACCCATTTTCCAAGATCACCACAGAGCAAAGGACACAGTGGCAGATACAGTGTGATAGACACAGTAAGATCTGAAAGGAATCTGACCCATTTGCATCTGCCGATCACTTGTTACTGATGAAGTGAAGATTCAGTAGAATGCAGTAGGATTGGGGATGTGAGGTAAAGAAGAATCAGAAGCTAAATTACAAAGAGTTTTATCTTCCACGACCTTAGTTTTCCCATGGAGGTAATAGATATCCATTGAAAGACCTAAGTCCATGAAGTGAGTAACAAGATTTATACTTTAAAAACCCTTATACAGTGTGGCAAGGAATGGAAATCTGAGGCAGGGTCCCTGTATCATTCATGTAGCTCCTGAGCTGCAGGCACACAGGGACGTAGCTTCTGGCCAGGTCGTGGTGAAAAGCAGCTGTAATAGGACCTCCAAAGGATGCAGGGGGAAGATGCATTTGAGCTTCCTGTAGGACACAACACACTACTTTGGCGCCATTTAGATATACGTATGGATCTTGTGCCAAAGTAGAGAAACAAAGCAAAATCAACATAAACCCACATGCTAAGAAGGCAACCAAAAACTGTGTATAACATTCGCTTGGGTTCTGGAAGCTGATTTGTTTAGGAAATCAAGTAGGAACTTTAGCAATTTAAAAAGTGTATTTCCATCTTATTAAAACAAGAATGGAAGACTGATGACACCAAGCAGACAGACAGTTAACATGGAAGATGGGAGAGAGTTCCTGAAACAAAAGACTGAGATCTTACGGGACACATATAAAGATTAAAATGCCATCTTGAAGGCCAGGAGAGACTTTTATGGGCTGAAAAGAACACCCTTATCTCTGTCTACTCCTTCGGGGGGTGGTGAGGTTAGAAAAAAAGAAAGTTAAACTTGGTTATCACCCATAGATTTCTGTCTTCCTGTAACAAAAAAGAGGCACAATCTGAAAAGGCAAAAAACAAATATATCAAGAAGTAGCTTAGGTACAAAGAGAAAAAGAAAATCACATGGAAAACTTTAACAAAGTGGTTATAGAATAGCTGTGCAGATGTTATTGGAGAAAATGAGGAAAATCAACCTAAAATGCTCTGAATATTATTCTGCAGCTAACAGAAACATGAGTAAGCAGAAACTGTAAGATAACACGAGGTAGGGAACATATTTTCAGGGGAAGTGTAACAGTTGATTAGCAGTAACGAGAGCAGTCCCCAGGCAGAGACAGAAAACAGCTGAGTCACCGTGAAGATTAAGAATTAACTCTGCTGACACTGAGCCCTGAAATCACCCAGCTCCCGAAGCACACTGCACCGCCCCTCCCCATGGGATCCACTTGTGGCTCTTTCTTGTATTTCCATGAAATTTCTAGGACCTTCCACAAATACCTTTATAATATCTCCAAGTACTTGAGGGACTCAGATAAACTTCTCTCTCTGGCAAACAAAAATGCCCAATGCATCTTCTCAACATTTCTAAGAAGTGAACAACCGGCCTTAGAGTGTGGCGGCCAGACATGAGTGGAGTCCTGCAGATACACCACTCGGTGAGCAGGACAGAGAAAGCATTACTCAGTCTACGCTGAACATGGTTCCTTGTCCTCACAGCCTCATCGCTGAGGTAGAATGGCAGAAATGAAGACAGGCAGAAAGCACACAAGGAGAACTGGAATTGTAAAACTGTACTTTGAAGAAAGACTGCAGCTTTGAGACACAAGCTAAGGGTTTTGTTTGTTTGCTTTGCTTTTCCTGTCTCCTAAAACACAATAGGTCTGGGCAATCCCCTTTCACCTGTGAGATGACCACCTCTTTGCACCTGTAAATTTCAAGTAAAGGACAGTACTAGTGGGTAGATCTCACCTTCAAACAAGTGCCATTGGTTTGCATTCTGACCTATCTGCAAGATGGGTGATCTGACACACAGCAGGGATACACACCCAAGGTCTCTCTACCCCTTCTTGACAGCATCCCCAATTCCCATAAACATAGCAGCTCTGGATCATAATGAGCCCTCCCTTTTCTTGTGAAAATTCCCTCTATTTGAGTGTGCCCTTTTAAAATGTCCTTTGGCTGTGATGGGAGTCAGCCCACCTGCAACTTATTTCTCTGGCTAGGGTGAGTTTAGAAAGTTCATAGGACTGTGTCCAGTGGTACCACTGCTCATAAAGTACCTTGCTGTCGACTAAAACCTTCAGTTCTTTGCATCTGATTCTATATACCAGATTCCTGCTATGCCCCAGGTACATCTCAGGGCATTGGTGGTACAAAGGTAAATATAGCCCCTGCTCTCCAGGCGCTTAGCAGGCAGGGTCTTTGCGTGCAGACCCTGAGCGAATCATCACACTCATGAAAGCATCTCTTCTTCTACCTTGTGCTGGCAGAGGAGGCCCCAGGGCTCCCTCCCAAGAAAGTGAATATCCCAACCTTGATTAATATGTTATTCTTGTTAACTGCAGTCAGCATAAAAGCATTAAACCTTTCGAGAGATTCCACAAATACAAACCCTCATCTTACGGGGCTATAACTTGAACTTCTACCCCCATCTCCAGTTCCTCCAGCCCTTCCTGTCCCCTTAAAAGTGCTCAGTCCAGCCAGCTGTGGTAGCATTGGCTTGTGATTCCAGATACTTGGGAAGCTGAGGCAAGAGGATCACAAGTTCAAGGCCAGCCTGAACTACTTCATGAGATCTATATATGATTAAATAGATAAGCAAGAGCTGTAGGTATGGCTCACTAGTGATGCATTTGCCTAGAATGCACAAGACCCCTGGGCTTACTCAAAAGCAAACACCCCCAAACGGTGATAAGTCTATTATCATAAAATATATAATACCTCAAAAATTCTTACAAACATTCCCGTTACCTTTGTGCTCCAATTCTGCCTCTTCTCTAGCTCCAAGGTGGTGGTTATTTATCTCTCTGGACCTGGAGATGAGAAGTTAACCTTCCTTACTCATCTTCTTCATATTTTCCCTCTCTTCTCCCTAACCCTTACACACACACACACACACACACACACACACACACACACACACACACTTACAGCTTTGAAGCTCCTGTCATCAAACTAAACTATTCATTACTTTCCATATGGGAGCCATCTGCTCATGAGCCCTCCTCCTCTGTCCCCTTTAAACTTCTTCCAACACTTCTACCTCACTCCACACCTGCCCCTCCTGGCTAATGACCCCACCACCCCTTTCAATGAGAAAGTGGGTGCAATCAGAACAGAACTTAAACGAACTCTTCCCAGCTAAGTACATCAGAACCATTTTTGTCACCCTTCCTGAACTATTTTTGCTCTTACCTAAAGTACCTGCTCAAGAGCAGTGCTTCTGCTATCCTCCTATTCATCTCCTACAGGATTTATTTTGGAGGTGTTACCCAAAATAGGCAAAACATGTTACATATGTTCCCATCCAACAGCCTTTTGACCTTACTTCCCCCTCTAGCTTCTGCCCTGTTTCTCCATCCTCCTTTGCATGATATATACTCAGCACTAATTGCTCTCTTCCTGAGCTCATACTAATCAAAGTTTTGCCCCTAAGACTCCCATGTTTATAGTCCTTTTCAGGATATCCAATGAGATCTCCACACTGAGAAATCCAGCACTCCATTCTGTCCTCCTCTCATTTGACTTATCATCCTGATTCAACCCACAATATGCAACATTTCTCCAGTTGACTTCTAGGACATCACACTGTCCTGCCTTTCTTCCTGCTTCACTGGACTCCCCTTGCTTATCCTTTTCTGCTGATTCTTATCAACATCCTCATCTCTAAATGCTTAAGTCAGCTTGACCCAGTCTCTTCTCTAATTTACTTACTTTCTGGGTGAGCTCATTGTATTAGTCACTTTCTTCATAGCTCAGACACAATACTGAACACCCAGAAATTCAAGGAGGAAAAGTTTATTTTGGCTCGCATTTCAGTCTTTAGTCTGCTGACTTCAAGGGAGAATGGCCTGACCAAAGGTCACGGCAGGGAAAATGTTGCTCAGATCATACAGGAAGCTGGGAGAGTCAAGAGAGGATCCAGGAAGGAAGATAAACCCTTTCAGGCCACACCCACAGTAACCCGACTCCTCCAACCAGACCCCACATCCTAAGAGCAAGTCCAGCTATAATGCTTATAATCCAAACAACTACCAAACACATAAGGTGTGAGGGGAAAATGTAAATCATAATATTCATCCAGTCTTTTGGCTTCGAATACCACTTATGTGTCAAAGACAAATTTGTCTGTGAGATCTAGACCTAGGATGATTAACTCATCCCAATTTTTGTAGAATTTCCTTGGTTTTAGTACATCCTAGGCACCTTCTTAGTTAGTCCCAGGCAAACCAGGATATGGTCATTCCTCTCTGACTTCCTATAATAAGCATATACAGATTGACCCCTAAGCATTTTCACCAAGTATGTTTTTCCCATGGACTTGCCCATATCAGTAAATGAAAATATTCCATTTTTCTAATTACATCATCAGCCTTGATATAATTCTTGACTTTTTTCTTTCTCTTAAAACACATACCAAATCGATCAGCATGTGCTGTTGGCATTCTTTCACAGATATACAGATCTGATCACTTCCATTGTCACTCACCTGATCCAGCCACCACCATGACTGGCCTGGATCAGTATAAACAAGTTCTCTCACATCCACAGTTTATTCCCCACACCGAAGCCATCATCTTCCCTTTAAAATGTGCAAGTCAGGTCATGCATTTTATTCAAGAGAAGTTACTTCCCACTCATTCTCGCTGAAAGCCTAATCTTTCACAGTGATCTTCCAGGTCCTGCCTGACCCTGTCCCTCTGTCTGTCCCGATCCCCTGCAATTTTCCTTCCAATGTGCTCTGCCGTGCTGGTCTCCTGCTTGCCCTTCAAACACAGAGAACAAACATCTCTGTCAAGACCTTTCCCCTTACTCTTCTCTCTGCCTGGAACACTCTTCCTACAAGCACTGGCAGTGGTCTCCCTCTGCGTTAGTTTCTTATTTATTGTCGAACCAAAAACACCTGACATAAATAATTTAGAGGAGGAAGAAGTTTGTTTTGGCTCACGGTTTCAGTCCCCGGTTGACTAGGTGGAAGAAGAGTGTGACAGGGGAAGTTGCTTACCTCATCGCAGCCAGGAACCACAGCCAGAGAGAGGGGAAGGGGTCAGGGACAAGAATACACCCTTCCACATTGTGTCTCCTCAGTGACCTCATTCTTCTAGCCAGGCTCCACTTCCTAACAGCACCCTTTGAGTTAGTGCCCCACCTCTGACCACATGAGCCTTTGGAGGCACATTTGGGACCCAAACCATGAACACCTTCTGAATAAGTTTAAATGTTACCTTATTGGTCCCCCCGCCCCACTGCAGATAGTATAGGCTTGAGCAGTACACAGGCACTTCCTATCTTCTTTCTCTGACATGTTTTTCCTGTAGCACTGCAGTGCTTATCACCAATGGAGTCACCATATATTTTGTTTCTTTATTATCTGTGTCCTCCATTACTCATCCTTAAGGGGAAATGCCCCCAGAATTTATAGCCTGGCACATAGTAAACATTCAGCACACTGGTAAATGGATAACTAATTGATATGAGAGCTCCAAATGAAAGCAATTATTCCATTGCACTGATGTACATCAGTGCAGAGAGTCAGGGAGACCATTTTGACAGACAGCTGAAGGATGAGTATACATTAACCAGAGGGAGAAGCGGAAAGAACCTTTTAGACTGAAGGAATAATGTGTGCAAAGACTTTGTTATGGAAAGCTCCACAGTGTGTCTGGGAGTTAAAGAAAATTCAAAGACCAGCAGTGATGACAAGCATTTTGGAGCTTTCAATAACAAACAGCCCACTGTGGCAAGCACGCTATAGGTTTGCTCCCACTGGGTTAGAGTAAAGAGAGAAAGGGCGAGACTGCTAAGAACCAAAGCTGGGGGCAGATATTGAAACCAGATTTTGATTTCTATGTGAGAGGAATAAAAGACATCAGAGCAATGTAATCTGTGGTGGATGTGTGAGTAACACAATCATATTCAGGGTATGAAAATTTAATTAGGGTTGGTGTCCTAGTTACTTTTTACTTGTTGTTGAGACAAAATACCTGATGCCCAAAATTAGGGAAGAAAAGGTTTATTTCTTGGAGGTTTTAGTCTATGTTCAGTTGGCTCCGAGGCAGCACAGCAATGCTGCAAACAGCAAAGCAGGAACTGGCAAGAGAGAGAGAGACACAGCTCCTTCTAGCCAGTTCATCGTGTGCTGGCTCCACTACTAGGCAGGTGTAGCGCTCACATCACCAAACAAAGCTCTACACAACAAACCAATCACAAATGCTAGATTTGGTTGAGTCCATAATTGCATGAGGCTTGAGGGCCACTGACATAAACCATGACAGCTGGTATCTTAAATGTGCTGGTAAGGGCCAAAGTAGAAATATTGAGAGCAATTTGACTACAGCAATAGTACAGATGAAAAATCTTGGCTCCTTAGGCTAAGAAGGTATTGGTGGATATGAAATAGTGACAGATTCTGAAGTTTGAGGAGGTAAAATGGCCAGGATACAAAAGAATTAAAGATAGTGGCGGGAGGTGAAAAGGGGAAAGTTTTCACAGTGAAGCCCAGATTTTCTAACACAACAGAAATATTTGTATATTAGAAGAGAAGCTTGGAAGAGATGCTTTAAGAACTTAATCTTGTACATTATGTTAGTCACTTTCCCATTCTTGGACGAAATACCCAACACTTGCAACTTAAACAAAGAGAGGTTTATTTTGGCTGATGGCTTTGGTGGGTTCAGTTCATGGCCAGACGCTCCAAGGTAAAAACAGCTTGATAGAGGAGTATGGCAGAGGATGGCTCATGTCAGTGGCATCCAGGAAGCAGAGAAAGAAGGAAGAAATTTTGGACAAGAACACATCCTTCCAAAATGTTCCCAGTGAGCCATCTGCAGTCAGGCCTCACCTCCTGACAGCATATTCAGCTGCTAAACTCAGCAACAAATAAACCCACAGGTAGCGTACATGTTGAGTCCAAGGGGCCTTTGTGACACCTAACTCCAAGAAGATGAATTGATTAATATTTTGTGGGTACAAGACTAAAGCTATGAGTAAAGATCTAGTCTGGAGAGACTTATTTCAGAGCTATTATCATAAATATGATCATGAAACTCTAAGACTGATGTCAAATGTTTGTGTGAGTTCCTGCTAAACTGTACTTTAACATTCTATACTTACATAGATAATCTTGTTTAATTTCATCCTGTTAGGTGACTACTGTCATTGTGTCTTTTTGCCTCATTCTCACTCTCCTTTACCATCTTCTAGCCCTGTGTCTTCTGAGGGAGGAGGACAATCAGCATGACACTGACATCTCTCACTGATCCATTAAGAACAGCATGGCACCAATCAAGATAATGTTCCCTTAATGCAGAGTTGGGCCTCCTCTCCAGTGGCAGTGATAGGAGCGAGCCCAGATCAGGTCAAGCAACAGTTTATAGTTTATTCAGCTTCACTGTTCAATAGCTCATCTCATCTCCTAAGGAGAGAATAAGAGAATTTGTAAAATTGTGAGGTTAGGCAACTTTGGAAACAGGACAAGTGCATTTCTTGAACCAAGTGTTCAAATGACAGTGAGATTACTTCCCTGATTTTTTATCTTGGCCAATTTGCTTAAGCCATCTGGGTCGATAGTTTCCACTTGTAAAATATTATCCATAGTGATTTGGGAGGCTGAGGTGGGAGCACTGCAAGTTGGAGGCCAGGCTGGGCAGCACAGTGAGACCCTGTTTCAAAATAAAAAATGTAAAAGGGCCGGGGACATAGCTGAGTGGTGGAATGCCTCTGAGTTCAGTCCCCAGTAATATACTATGAATATGAATGTGTAAGTATGAATATAAATATATTGGTCATGATATTTGCCTCAGAGATTTATAGA